AAAAAAAAAAAAAAAAAGATCTTGCCTGGAAAGTATTAACCCACCCGCAGATTTCACCAGACCTTGCTCCTTCAGATTACGTTCCAATCAATGGCACATGCACTTTCTGAGCAGCACTTCAAAACGTACGAAGAAGTGGAAAATTGGGTCTCTGAATGGTCTGCCTCAAAACAAGAAAAGTTCTATTGGGACGGTATCCACAAATTACCTGAAAGATGGGGGAAATGTGTAGTTAGTGATGGACATTACTTTGAAGAAAGCACTTTCGATGTTTCTCTTAAAATTATCATTTTCTCTTTGATTAAAAAATCCGCATTTTTAACCGGTACACCTAGTAAACAGTGTTTAGAGCTTGGTAGGTGCTATGTACCGGTAAGTGTTGGCAACCATCATCATCATCATGTTGTTTTTTTTATTGTTATCATTATTTAGCTAGCGATGGACATTACTTTGAATAAAGCACTTTAATGTTTCTCTTAAAATTATCATTTTCTCTTTGATTACAAAATCCGCATTTTTAACCGGTACACCTAGTAAACAGTGTTTAGAGCTTGGTAGATGCCATGTACTGGTAAGTGTTGGCAACCATCATCATCATGCTGTTATTTTTTATTGTTATCATTATTATTAATGAGGTTGGAGACGTCAGTTGAAGCCAGATCATGGAAGGATTTAGGCGGAAAGGAGCTGTTCAGCCCTGGGTTCAGCAAGGGCACCCTATGGGAGGGTGGAGAATGGACAGGACGGGGAAGACCATTGAGGACACAGCAAGAGATGTTGTGGCTTGACGCTGGTCGTGGCAGAGGGATAAAGGGCAGTGGATGGGATTGAGAGAGAGGTGAGGACAAGGTCCGAATTTCTGGCCCAATGAGTCCAAAGATTGTATAGACGAGAGTCACACTGCCGAGTACAGGAGCAGGGACCTCAAGAAGCATGAACTGCCTCCCCCAGGAAGGTGCAAGCAGGGATTGAGGGCCACCTGCTCAGGATGCTACAGGACAGGGGTGCTGGGACGGAGGGTGACTTCCAGCTCGGACAGGCAGACTTTCAGGATTGTGACTTTCAATGACGTGGCCCTGCTATTTAGAAAGGCATCTGTAACCAGAGTTAACTTAGGGAGGCCAGGTCTACAGATGGGGTGGTCTGAAGGTCATGAGGCTCTCTCACATGCACACCTGGCCTCACCTACCAGGTGCATGTTCCACCTGGCATCACCCACTATCCTCGTCCTCTGCTGGGTGCCCAGGCTGCCCACTAGTGCCAAAGGCCTGTGGGTGAAGTCGTTGTGGGACTGTGGTTCTCAGGGTTGCTATTCAGCTGGGAGCTCCAGGCATGCCCAAATCCTGCTTCCCGTGAGGTCCCCTGGCACGATATACGCACAAGGACGTTGACAAACAGGAAGTCAACAGGCAACTTGGTTCTGGGACACTCAGAAAAGCCTGCACTGGGCCCAGGGCCCTTTGCTATCACCCAGTGACAAGTCCCCCTTTGGAATTAAATGACTGTGACCATTGAGCCTGAGCCAGCCACACAAGGCTTTAGGTGCACCTCCCAGATGATAAGACTTATTGCAATCAGGGCTGAATTCCTGTGGGCAGTCCCTCCTTCTGCCCTCGTGGAGGTGGCTTGCTGTGTGCTGTTTCAGTGAGAGAACAAAGGCCCCAGAGGAGGGAAGGACTCACCTGGTGGCTTGCTGTGTGCTGTTTCAGTGAGAGAACAAAGCAGGACTCACCCCCAAAGGCCCCAGAGGAGGGAAGAAAGCTGTGACTGGCTGCTCTGAGCCCACCGTTCCTGTTGGAGGAGGGGTAAGCAAGACGTCCCCTCTGTCCTTTGAAGTCGCCACCAGTGGTGCCCACGGAACTTGGCTCGGTCACCGCCGATCCCTGCACTGCCTGCACAAAGCAATCCCACTCCCTGGAGAAGGCAGGAAGCAGAATGAGTCATATCTAAAAGCTGCTTAGCCCAGTCTTGGGCAAGGAAGGAAAAAAACACACACACATTAAAAACCCTTTGATCTTTGTCTCTGATTTCTGGAACGTTCCATCTCATTGTGACTTAGAGAGTCAAGGGAGGATGGGCACCTCTAACTTGGCAGCCTCTGAAATCAAGTTGTCATGAACTAGGCTGATGATCGATTCCCTACCGGGGACCCCTGCCTTGAATCCACAAGATGGTAGAGCTAAAGACGGAAGTAATCCATGGCCCACCGTTGCATTAGCAAGAAACACCCTTTGAAACTGCAAGATGCCCTCCTCCCAGACAGAGGGCCCAGGAAGATCAGCTTTCTCCCCCTTTTCCCATTCAAGTTCTTGCCACCTGCTTCTTCCCACCCCCACCCCCCAATGCAGCCATGGAAAGCACATTGACTGACCACGGAGGCAAAATCATGGTAGGACATCGGGCATGGATTCTGCTCTCTGGGCCCCAGTCTCCCCAAGGGAAAGGTGGAGGGGGATGATCCTTTCGATCCCCAGCCTCTCATGGTGGGATTCTAGAGCTGGAAGCAGCCGACAGTGGCCCCTCTCTCTCCCTCTGGCTCCACCCAGCGGGAGACCTGATAGTGATCTTTGCATGGAGCTCCCACTGGTCAGTTCCTTTGAGCCTGGCATTGCTTCTGGAAGCCTGAAAGGTGATAACTGTCATTTGTGTTTGTGAGCACAGAGGGAAAGGGTCAGGCGGATGTGACTCTGAAGGCATAAAGCCCTGGGTTTCGGCCCTAGCTTTGCCACCATTCATCAGTTTGATGACCTCGGGCAAGGGACACATTCTGTTAGAATAGAATCTACCAAGATGGACTTAAAAGCTGTGAGCAGCAGACATCATTTCTCTGAGACTCAATTCCCTCATCTGTAAAATGTGGATATAACCATCCCCATCCCATGGGGGTTGTTGAAGTATTAAATGCAATAACGCACAGAGTGTAGAGTTTAGCAGGAAGCCTGGTCCTTGGGCATTTAATAGATGTTCGCCATTGATATGACCAAGTACCGGCCCTCCGGCAAAGGTTAGTCTGTGGCAGGGCTGGCTTCTCCTGGCTCCGTGTGCACACGCATCACCGGGGTCTCGCCCAGAGTGACTCAAATGCTGTGGCTGCTCACAACCCTTCCTTCACCTGTAGTGAGTGCTGGGGAGTCAGAGGCTTTCCCTAGTGCTAATCCCGAGTTTTAAAGATGTAGCAGGTGTCCTTTCCAGAGAGCATTCCAAGGCCGCAAAGGCCCATCAAATGCAAAGTTAGAGGTACGCCCACATCAGCCACCCTGCCGAGCCGCTGCAGACCCGTTGGCGGAAGATCAGACACCCAGTTGCTGGGGGTTAATTACTGACTTGGCACCCGTCTTCTTGGGGCGCACTTGCAAGAAGAGTCTCTTTTTTCTCTTTCCAGAGGCATAAACATTTGTACTGCAAGTAGCCCAGGGGGCCTGGAGATGTTTACTTTGTAGTTAAGGAAGAGAGGGGCTTTTTTGTTTGGGGAGCAAGAGCACTGCTGGCCCAGGGGAGAAGTCTTTAGGGGACCCCTTGCACTAGCAGGTATCTGTGGGGGTGATTCAAGGTGGGGTGGGACCGCTTCATTCCCCACTGATGGAATAAGTTCCTTCAGTCAGCAGAAAATGGATGCTCTTCAATAAAGGTTTTCCCTGTTGTTGGGTCCCCGGGGGTCAGAGCCCAGAGGACTCACCTTGTGGCAGCGTTAGCAAATCAGAGAGCTGCTAGGTGCCATAGTGAGAGTGAGAGTCCTGGGTTACTAGCCAGGCTTAGGGCCTGGAGGGTTGCATGGAGTCAGTGGTTGAGGGCCGACTTTCTTCCGCAGCTCTCTGTTCCTACCACTGGGCGGCGCAGGTGAGCAAGGCTGCACCGGGATGGCTCCTGTAGGGAAAGCAAGGGTGCAAGGAGGCAGGGTCTGGGGTCTGTGAGGACCGGAAATCCGGCTGGCAGACAGCTCCTGGGTGCCTTCCCTCGGCGAGCTAGGCCTGGGGGCTTTCCCTGCCTATCTGCCCACCTCGGGCCAGGAGGGAAATATGAGGACATCCAAATCTGTATTTGTTCCTGACCTGAAGCAATAGGTAAAGAAATCCGCTGCGGGCTGGAAGCCAGCAGAGAAGGGTATTCCCACCCAATAGATAAGGGTGCAAGGAGGCAGGGTCTGGGGTCTGTGAGGACGGGGAATCCGGCTGGCAGACAGCTCCTGGGTGCCTTCCCTCGGCGAGCTAGGCCTGGGGGCTTTCCCTGCCTATCTCCCCACCTCGGGCCAGGAGGGAAATAGGAGGACATCCAAATTCTGTATTTGTTCCTGACCTGAAGCAACAGGTAAAGAAATCCACTGCCGGCTGGAAGCCAGCAGAGAAGGGTATTTCCACCCAATAGATCTGTCCCTGAGAAGGTGAAGGTCAGTAGGTACTTTTATAAAACAGGGCCACCGACGGGGAAACTAGCTACTTAAAGGAACCGAGTCAGGAATTATTTTCTAAGGAGAGAACTGCCCTTATTTTGCGCACTGTGTTCTTGGGGTTTGAGAAATGGGTTCTCAACTCCAAAGGCAGAGCGCTTCCGGGGTCCCCCACACTTTTGGTGGCCCCTGTGAGGTCTGGCGAGAACCGTGTGATTCAGCTCCCATTTGCAAAGTTAGGACTATGGGCCAGGCCCTTGACACGTTGGCTCCTCTCCAGGCCTCTGTGGTTAGGAGTATCACCACCTCTAGGTTACGAATAAAAATTAGCTGAACACCTTACCTTTATTGTATTATTTAATCTTCATAACAACTCTCTGAGAAACGACTGTTACACCCATTTTACAAGTGGGTAAAACTGAGGTTAGAAAGGTAACTTGCCTGAGGTCTGGGAACTCAGGTCGAACCCGCATTGACCCCAGGTTCCTGAGTCCAGCCAGAGCTCATAGTCTCAAGGCTCCTCTGAGGGAATCAAGTTTTCCTAAGTGAAGCCAGGTCGCTTGGCCAAGGTTACCTATACTGGGTGTGATATCAGACCTGCCTCCTTCTCCGGCCCCTTGTACGGCCACCTTCCTTAGCCTCAGCTTCCGGGCCTTCACCCCAAACTGTACACAGGCACAGCCTGGAGTGTGTTTCTGCGAGTTTGTTCCAAAGCCTTGGACCCAAGTGGCACATAAGTATGGCGGGAAAGGAGGAATGGTGAAGTGCACCAAGAAGAAAGACCACCTTAGCCATCTCCCTGAGCCTGAGTCAGCCAGGAAGGCCGGGAGTCGGAGAAAGTTAAGCAGATTGGGTCACCCTCTTTGCTAAGAGATTTGGGTAGCAGCGAATCTCAGCTGAGCAGAGCAGCGTGCAAAAGGGCGGGCCTCACCCGCCTCCTGGGACTGAGAAGAAAGGCACGTTTCTGAGAGACCGGGGCTCCCCACATGGGAAAGGGAAGTGATGTTAGCTGAACGTTTGGCTGGGAGTCTGGCTCACGGTTCCAACTCATGGGCATCAGCAAAGGAGAACAAGGAATTGCTGAGGGTGGCAAATTGGTTATAATTAAGAGAACCTGGGAGACACAAAACAATGTCAGGGCCACCAGCTGTCCAGGATCTGGGTCTCTGTCTGGAGGAACAGCTCAGGAAACCAGCCGCCCACCCCTGCAGTGCAGGCCATTCCAGCAAAGAGCCTCTTCCCCGCCCTCCCTTCTGCTCCCAGGGCCCAGGGTGCTGCCAGGCATTCCTTAGGGTCCCCCTTCCCCGCCCCACCAGCACCTTTTCCTTTCCTTTCTCCACAAACTCACCGGGTCTTGTCCCTCAGGAAAGTAAAGAAGCTGACGGTGGCTTCAAGGTCTAACTCCCGTGCTTCTTGCATGAGTTATTTAACCTGATCCTCAGTGTCCTCATCTGACAGATGGGGATAATAACAATGCTGAATGCATACAGTTGGTTGTGAGCATTAAACACAGCGTGTGAACGTGGGTGGCACAGCGCAGGGGGCGGCAAACTATGGCCTGTGGGCTTGCTGCCTATTTTGTATGACCCACGGGCTAAGAATGGTTTTCACAGGTTTTAATTGCTGGGGTAAAAGACTATAGTTTAACAAAAACTATGAACAAATTCCTATGCACACTGCACATATCTTATTTTGAAGTAAAAAAACAAAACAGGAACAAATACAATATTTGTATTTGCATGTGGCCCGCGGGCCGTAGTTTGAGGACCCCTGGCTTAGATAGTGTCTGTGGCTGCTTACGTGTGAGCCCTGGTGCCCCTCTCCCCACGCTCCCCGCCCCCCTTGGAGTCACCTGGAGGCCCCAGGACTTGCAGTGACGAGGTCCTTGAAGGTCTCAGTGGGTGGGCACGGGTTCTAGTGGTTGGCCCCCAACAACCAGTGCGGGCAGAGTTGAGTAGTTGTGACAGAGATCAGAGGCTATATGGTTCAAAAAGGGTAAAATAGTTACTATTCAGCTCTTTGCAGAAAAAAATTTACCAATCCCTGGAATAAATGCCAGACACTTAATAAGTGATCAGTTAAATGTATCAATCATTCCTGTTACTATATTAATACTCCTGTTATCCTCTTTTCGTCTAGTTTTAACTTTCAGGTACCCATGCTTACGGCTTAATGGAGAGGTTCTAAACCTGAGGTCCATGGAGGGCTTTAGGGGGGGTCTTTAACTCTCCAGAATTTCTATGCAGATTTTTATAGGTGGGATCTTTTGGTGGAGGGGCCTGATAATATTCACCTGATTCTCAAAGCGGTTTGTGTTCTCAATAGGTAAAGAAGTGTAGGTTTTTTAAAAAAAAAACACATTTTTTAAAATTTATTTCAGAGAGGAAGAGAGAGGGAGAGAGAGAGAGAAACATCAATGATGAGAACCATTGATTGGCTGCCTCCTGCACGCCCCACACTGGGGATGAGCCTGCGACCAGGGCATATGCCCTGACTGGGAATTGAACCATAACCCCCTGGTTCATAGGTCTACGC